GGGTAATGAAACATCTGCAAGAAAACAGGCAAGCTCAGAAAGCACCGAGGACCCCTTCAGCTTATCTCTATCCTGGACTTGCCATTTCGGTCCTTGTCTTTGAAAGTTGCTGAAATTTTTCATTATCCGCTTTGGCTTTTTACAGTAATGGGTAAAGTTTGTTTTAGCTCTGGGAAGATTGAGTGGTTGGCAACGGAACCGTGATATCTAAACTATCCAAGAAGATTTCATGGGTCTTCTCCAAAGCATTCATTTATTTAATGCGATTGACATTCCATGGCACTGGTGATCATTTATGGCTGGGAAGCTCAATTGTTCATCATCTGTTTTAGCCTGGTTTAGTCACCACAATACAAAAAAAAAAAAATGCTGTGATCCTAGGAAGACTGCAGAAAAGAGCAACAAAAACGATAAGAGGTCTGGAGACTAAACTGTATGATGAAAGGTTTTGGGAACCTGGTAACGGTAAAGGTTCCTCTCGCACATATGTGCTAGTCGTTCCTGACTCTAGGGGGCAGTGCTCATCTCTGTTTCAAAGCCAAAGAGCCAGCCCTGTCCGAAGATGTCTCCGTGGTCATGTGGCCAACATGACTAAACGCCAAAGGCGCACGGAACGCTGTTACCTTCCCACCAAAGATGGTCCCTATTTTTCTCCTTGCATTTTTTTACGTGCTTTCGAACTGCTAGGTTGGCAGAAGCTGGGACAAGTAACAGGAGCTTACCCCGTTACGCGGCATTAGGGATTCGAACCGCTGAACTGCCGACCTTTCAATCAACAAGCTCAGCATCTTAACCACTGAGCCCCTGCGGCCCGGGAACTCGGTATGTCTACTCTAACTAAGAGAAGGATGAAGGGTGATATGATAATAGTCTTCCAGTATTGAGGGGCTGTCACAGAGAAGAGAGGGTTGTCCTGCTCTCCAAAGCACCTCAGGGCAGGAGAAGAAATAATGGGTGGAAGATTAATTAAAGAGAGATCCAACCTAGAACTAAGAAGAAATTTCCTGACGGTGAGAACAATTAATCAGTAGACTGGCTTACCTCCAGAAGTTGTAGGTGCACAATAGCAATAGCACTTAGATTTATATACCGCTTCATAGTGCTTTCCAGCCCTCTCTAAGCGGTTTACAGAATCAGCCTATTGCTCCCAACAATCTGGGTCCTCATTTTACCCACCTCGGAAGGATGGAAGGCTGAGTCAACCTGGAGCCTGGTGAGATTCGATCTGCCAAACTGTTGGCAGCTGGCGATCAGCAGAAGTAGCCTGCAGTACTGCACTCTAACCACTGCGCCACCACGGCTCATCATGGTATACAGTCTCCTGCTTGAGCAGGGGTCTGGACTACAAGAATTCCAAGGTCCCTTCCAACCCTATTACAGATAGTCCTCGAGTTACAAAAGTTCATTTAGCGACCATTCAAAGTGATAACAGCAACTGAAAACTGATGGCTTACAGAATGACCGTTTTTCACGATTTGCAGCATCCCCCTGGTCATGTGATGAAAATTCAGAACGTTTCGTAACTGGTTCATATTTATGACGGTTGCAAGGTCCCGGGGCCATGGGATCCCCTTTTGCAACCTTCTGACAAGCAAAGTCAATGGGGGAAGCCAGATTCATTTAACAACTGTGTTACTAACTTAATGACTGCAGTGATTCACTTAACAACTGGGGCAAGAAATGTTGTAAAACGGAGCAAAACTCCCTTAACAAATGGCTCCCTTAACAGCAGAAATGATGGGCTCAATTGTGGACGTAAGTCAAGGACTACCTGTAATTCTATGTTCTTGTGTGCTAGAAACTAACTTCAACTATCAGCAGGTGGCACTATTGCTATATTTAAATATAGCACCAGAAAGTCTGAAATGCAAACCTGGGACTAAAGAAAGTGTTCCTGATTATATACAGATTAACAGAGTTGGAGGGGACCTTGTAGGTCATCTAGTCCAACCCCCCGCCCAAGCAGGAGACCCTACACCATTTCTGACAGATGGCAGTTCTTGAAAGCTTCCAGGGATGAAGCTCCCACAACTTTCGAAGGCCAGCTGTTCCATTGATTGATTGTTCTCACTGTCAGAAAATTTCTCCTTATTTCCAGGTTGAATCTCTCCTTATTCAGTTTCCATCCATTTTTCCTTGTCTGGCCTTCAGGTGCCTTGGAAAATAGCTTGACCCCCTTCCTTTCTGTGGCAGCCCTCAGATATTGTCACACTGCTATCATGTCTCCCCTGGTCCTTTTCTTCACTAGACTATCCAGGCCCAGTTCCTGCAACCGTTCATCATATGTTTTAGCCTCCAATCCTCTAATCATCAAGCTTGTTTTGTACTGAAATTGATCCCGGGCCCCTCTGCTTTAGGTGAGGCTAGTGAGAAAACAGCTGACCTTTCAAAGGCCTTTCAAGGATAAAACCTAAGTAAGATCCTCCTTCATTGGGCGTTACAGTTGACCCCTTTGGAAGGAATGAAGAATGGCACAAATTGGATCCCTCAAGCAGGGCCCTTGTGTAGACTGACACCTTTTCTGCCAAAGACCTTCCCACTCGATCAGGGTTGATCCTTTATTGTGCAATCCTACATCTCAGCCTGGAAAGCAATTATTCAAATTAAAAATGCAGCAAACCTTGGGGGCGCAGTGGTTAGAATGCAGTATTGTAGGCTAACTCTGCCCGCAGCCAAAAATTTGATCCTGACCAGCTCAAGGATCACTCAGCTTTCCATCCTTTCGAAGTCGGTAAAATGAGGACCCTAATTGTCTGGGGCAATAGGCTGACTCTGTAAAACGCTTAGAGAGGGCTCTAAATCACTGTGAAGTGGTATATAAGTCTAAGTGCTATTGCTATTTAACTACTGGGAGGAAGGAGTACAGACTACACCCAAATGCCTTTGAAAATGGCATTTAGGATATTATGCCTGACCAAAATTTAATGCAACTTTACAAGAGGATGCATTATTTCGACCGTGTTAAATGTATTGATTTTTTTAAAATTCTGTAATATGAGGAAATGCAGGCTCTTTGTAGAGCATAAAAGAAGGCCCATGCCTGCATCAGATTGTCCTGTTTTTAAAAACAGTCCCATATCATGTTCTTCAGCATTTAACACAGAAAAATAGAGACATTCTGTGATGCCTTGTCACCGGACAAAGCCTTGAAGAATGTCCTATTAAGCTCCTTAATACATATACAGCTGATAGATGAGGAGGAGGAAGAATGGAATGGAATGGAATGGAATGGAATGGAATAGAATAGAATAGAATAGAATAGAATAGAATAGAATAGAATAGAATAACAAGGGTTGGAAGGGACCTTGGAGGTCTTCTAGTCTAACCCCCTGCTTAGGCAGGAAACCCTACACCACTTCAGACAGATGGTTATCCAACATCCTCTTAAAAACTTCCGGTGTTGGAGCATCCACAATGTCTGGAGGCAAGTTGTTCCACTGATTATTTGTTCTAACTCTCAGGAAATTTCTCCTTAGTTCTAGGTGCTTCTCTCCTTGATTAGTTTCCACTCATAGCTTCTTGTCCTGCCCTCAGGTGCTTTGGAGAATAGCTTGACTCCTTCTTCTTTGTGGCAGCCCCCGAGATATTGGAACACTGCTATCTTTTATTTATTTATTTTATTTTATTTTATTTGTATACCGCCCTTCTCCAACAGGACTCAGGGCGGTGAACAGCCGAGATAAAACATAACATATAAAATTTTAAAAACAGTTTAAAAGACATTAAATAATTTCCGGCCCTCAATTTAAAACAACCCAGTTAAAACCAATTTCAAATTAAAACCGAAAGGATGGGATCAAGCCAGCCCGGCCAGATGAAATAGATGTGTTTTCAGGGCCCGACGAAAAGTCCAGAGGTCTGGTATCGTGCGTATCTCTGGGGGTAGGTCGTTCCAGAGAGCAGGAGCTGCCACAGAGAAGGCCCTCCCCCTGGGGGTCGCCAGCCGACATTGTCTGGCCGACGGCACCCTGAGGAGGCCCTCTCTGTGCGAGCAAACTGGCCGGTGGGAGGCTATTGGCGGCAGAAGGCGGTCTCATAGATATCATGTCTCCCCTAGTCCTTCTTTTCATTAAATTAGACATACCCAGTTCAAGCAACTGGTCTTCATATGTTTTAGCCTCCAGTCCCCAAATCACCTTTGTTGCACTTCTCTGCACTCTTTCTACAGTCTCAACATCTTTGATGTTGGAGGAGGAGGAGGAGGAGAAGGAGGAGAAGGAAGAGGAGGAGGAGGACAATAATGTTATCTAGTTAGACAATGACATGTCTGTAAGAAGACAACCAAACTCAGGGAGCATTAAGGACCCTACAAGTATAGAACTAATAGAAGGGTTCCCCTGAACTATTATACAAGTAGGTCCCTGTAATACAGATAGGTCCAGGTAGTTGAACCCAAAATTTACGTTGCTAAGCAAGACAGTTTTTAAGTGAATTTGGCCCTCTTTTACAACTTTTCTTGCCACAGTGGTTAAGCGAACCACTGCAATCGTGAAATTAGTAACACAGTTTTAAAGTGAGTCTGGCTTCCCCATTGACTTTTTACCACATGCAATCAATCAATCAATCAGAATAGAGCTGGAAGGGACCTTGGAGGTCTTCCAGTCCAGCCCCTTGCTCAAGCAGGAGACCCTATTCCATTTCAGACAAGTGGCTGTCCAGTCTTTTCTTAAAAACCTCCAGTGATGAAGCACCCACAACTTCTGGTGGCAAGCTGTTCCACTGGTTCATTGTTCTCCCTGTTAGGAAGTTTCTCCTTAGCTCCAGGTTGCTTCTCTCCTTAATTAGTTTCCATCCATTGTTTCTTGCCTTGCCTTCTGGTGCTTTGGAAAATAAAGTGACCCCCTCCTCTTTGTTCTCAAATCGCCCAGTGCCAAAGATGCCTTGGCTTCTGGTGGTTTTTTTTCCAGAGCTGTTCTAAAAGCCCAGGCGAGATATTCAGGCAGATGTCCTTTAAACCCTCTCTCGTTTCATCTTTGTTTTTGTTTGTTTCCTTTGTGCAGCAACAGAGACAGGCCGAAAACTTTCAAAGGGCAGCCCAGAGAAGGAAACTGCGTCCCAAGCGTGTCTTTATCTATCCTCTCAAGCCGAAGCAGAAAACCGAGTGCTGGAAAAAACGTGAGCCCAGAAACAGAAGACGAGTATCCCGAGCCGCTGGAAGGAGGCACGTTCTCCTGCAACTGGGCCCAGTTTGCTCTGCAGTCTGTTCTAGATCAGGAGCCTAGCAGAACCTCCAGCAGCAGCGAGACACTACCTTAGGATATCTAGTTCCCTGCTTTGCACGTCAGGGAGGCCAGATTTAAGTCACTTCGTCAGGAAATTCTGTCTAAAACCATGCCCTGTTGCTCTCAACCAGAGTGAGAGGTAGATGTAGTCCTCTACTTACAACCATTCATTTAGTGACTATTCAAAGTTACAAAGGGCACTGGAAAAAGTGACTTATGGCTGGCCTTCGCACTTAGAATAGAATAACAGAGTTGGAAGGGACCTTGGAGATCATCTAGTCCAGTGATAGCTAACCCGTGCCAAAAGTGGGGGGAGCGCAGGGGGGGGACATGCGCATGTGTGCCCACCCCACACCCATAATTCAATGTGCCCTGCCCCCCGCGCATGCTTGCGTGACACACACACACACCCGTGCTCCCCCTGCTTTTGGCATGGGATGGCACGGTGGGCCTGTAGGCCTGGTTTTTGCCCTCCCCAGGCTCCAGAGGCTTTCTTGAAGCCTGGGGAGGGCGAAAACAGTCTTCCCGACCCCACCCCAGGAGGCCCTCTGGAGGCAGGAAATGGCCCATTTGCCAACTTCCGGTGGGCCCCGAAGGCCTGTTTTTCACTCTCCCCAGGCGCCAGAGCCTTTCTAGGAGCCTGGGGAGGGCGAAAACAGCCTTCCCCACTTTCCCGGAGGCCCTCTGGAGGCCAGAAAGGGCCCATTTCCTGACTTCCGGTGAGCCCAGAAGGCCCAAAAATCAGCTGGCCGGCTCACGCATGCGCGCCATAGCTGAGCTAGGGCAACTCTCACGTTCCCACCAATATGGCTCAGCGTGCCACCTGTGACACGCATGCCATAGATTCACCATCACGGTTCTAGTCCAACCCCCTGCTTAGACAGGAAACTCTACACCACTTCAGACACTTACAACCATTGCAGCATTCCCACAGTTGTGTGATGAAAATGTATTATTTTGTTCACATTTATCATTTATTTTTATTTTATTATTTTACTAATTAAATGTCTATGCTGCCCGTCCGGCAGTCACATGAGTCTGGGTAGCTTACAACATGCCAAATTTGGGCGTTTGACAACTGGCATGTATTTACGACGGTTACAGTGTCCCCAGCATCACATTATCACCATTCGTGGCCTTCCCACCTAGCTTCTGACAGACAAAGCCAAGGGGAGAAGCCAGACTTGCTTAACGACCACATGATTCGCTTAACAACTGCAGTGATTCGCTTAACAACCGTGGCAAAAAAAAAAAGAGAGAGAGAGATAAAAATCAGGCACGACTCATTCAATGACCATCCTGCTTTGCAATGGAAATTCGAATCCCGATTGTGGTCGTCAGGCGAGGACTACCACTCCTGAGCCAAAGGGTTCCATTGTACTTTAGGGTCTTCCCAATGGATTGGGACTAAAACTCCCAGAATTTCCAGCATTTCTTATGGATGGTTATGTTGGTTAGCAATTTTAGGGAGTGGATTCTCAGTGGATCCAGAGAGATCCATGTTGGGAAGGATGGTTCGCAGTTTAAGAGGAGAAACGTCTCCACTTGTAGCTGTCAGGGTTCCAAGTAACACCTCCAACAAAAGAAAACTTGAGTTTCCTCAAAGTTCCATTTTATTAGAGATGTCATATTGGCATATCTGGGAAAACCCGAATCTGAAAGCTTCCAGGTTTTCCCTACCCAAAAGAAAGTTCAAGTCCCTGCCCAACATCCACATGTCTATCAAATGATCCAATCAAAGCACCGTCCCAACTGGAGATGCCTTCCAGTTCCAGCCTTCCAGGTGCAGGGCAAGATGTCCTTGACTTTCTGAGAAAGGAATGTTTATTTATTTATTTGTTTGTTTGTTTTAATTTGTACACCGCCCTTCTCCAGCAGGACTCAGGGCGGTGAACAGCCAAAATAAAACAAAACATACAAAATTTAAAAACAGTTTAAAAATAATTAAATATTTTTGGCCACAATTTAAAACAACCCAATTAAAATCAATTAAATTTAACCAAAACAGTGGGATCAAGCCAGCCCGGCTAGGTGAAATAAATAAGTTTTCAGGGCCCGACGAAAAGTCCGGAGGTCTGGTATTGTACGTATCTCTGGGGGGAGGTTGTTCCAGAGGGCGGGCACCACCACAGAGAAGGCTCTCCCCCTGGGGGTCGCCAGCCGACACTGTCTGGCGGACAGCACCCTGAGGAGGCCCTCTCTGTGCGAGCGTACTGGCCAGTGGGAGGCTATTGGTGGCAGAAGGCAGTCTCGTAAATATGTTATTATGACTATATACGCTGGCTCCATACAATCCCCCCTCCCAGTTTCCCACAGTAGTAAATATGGCAGGCCTGAAGATCCAACGAAAAAGATGGCTTCCAGAGGCCTGACAGTAGCACTACATTGTCTGAAATAAATATTCTTTTTTTCTTATAGATCAGTCTCCTGAACACAGACTTTCTCCAGAAAGCAGGATCTCCCCTAACCTCCTTCTCCAGGGAGACCATGCTCTGGATATGGTAAACTATTTCCTCTATTAGCCTTTTATTTTATTTTTATTTTTTTTGTCTTCCTTCCTCATATTTGATTCTTGACCTTGGACTATCAAAAATCTCCTGGAGATAAGAATAGAAGTTATTAGTTGGAAACAATTGATGAGCTGTGATGGTGCAGTGGTTAGAATGCAGTATTGCAGGCTAATTCTGCTGACTGCCAGCAGTTTGGCAGTTCGATCCTGACCAGCTCAAGGTTGACTCAGCCTTCCATCCTTCTGAGGTCCATAAAATGAGGACCCAGATTGTTGGGAGCAATAGACTGACTTTGTAAACCGCTTAGAGAGGGCTGTAAAACACTGTGAAGCGATATATAAGTCTACGTTCTATTGCTACTGGGCAGTTCACAATTGGCTTGAAACTAGCAAAGTTGGGGTTAAGTTATATAGTATCAGAAACCAATCTTTTTGATGCTGAAAATGCCATTTCTTATATTATATAGCCATAGTGGCGGAGTGGTTAGAATGCATATTGAAAGCTAATTCTACTGACTGCCAATTACCAACACTTTGGCAGTTCGAATCTCACCAGGCTCAAGATTGACTCAGCCATCCATCCTTCCGAGATGGGTAAAATGACCCAGATTGTTGGGGGCAAGATGCTGACTCTGTACACTGCTTAAAGAGGGCTGTAAAGCACTGTGAAGCGGTATATAAGTCTAAGTGGTATTGCTATTGCTATAGAATCAGAGGTGTCTAACTTTGGCAACTTTAAGACTTGTGGACTTCAACTCCCAGAATTCCCCAGGTCTTAAAGTCACCAAGGATGGACAACTGAAGGCTGGATAAAGTGAAAGAAGATATCAGTCACAGCCTCTCTGTAAAAATGTTGATTATCCAAATATTAACTCTAGGTTTAATAAGCAATTGTGTTTAATGTCCCTATTTTATACAAGCTGGAGAATTGGGCTTGACATGTTCCAGGATTATTCTTTCACCTGCAGCCTTCGAAGTGATCTATTTATAATCTATATTTGTGATGAGCAGATCTCCTGAGACCTTTCCAATTTAATGGCTCTGTTCTTCTGACTTACTTAATTGGATCACTTGGGAGAGAACGTATTGCAGGAACAGCAAAACTGGGTTAATTAACTGACTTAGTCAACCACTGTAGTTCCAGAGGGTTATTTTTAACCCAAAGGGGACCCAGGCATACCCAAGGGTTACACTCGGCCCAAAAGGGAGACCTGACAACCAGCTGACTCATTTTGCATTCTCAGCCTCTTTTTCTTGAAGGGGGGGGAGATGAAAAATTAACCCTTGCCATTCCAGAACTCATCACCATGGACTAGTACCACAGAACACAGCATTCTGATTGGCTGCAGCGTCTACGCCCAATTGGAAAAAGAGAAATTATTATCTAGCTACCTATATCTATCTAGTTATCTAGCTATCATCCACCTAACTCATCTATCTTCTATATATCTTTATCCATCCATCCATTCGTCTAATTTCTATCATCTATTTATCTATTTAGCTCTATCCATCTATTTTAATAATGTATCTATCTGTCCGTCTGTCTGCCTGCCTGCCAGCATGCCTATTATCTATCTGTTTATCTATCTACTGTATCTACCATATCTATCTATCTATCTATCTATCTATCTATCTATCTATCTATCATTATCCATCCATCTCCATCCATCCATATCCTATCCATCTCTCTATCTATCTGTGTGTGTGTCTGTCTGTCTATCTCTATCCATCCATCTCCTATCCATCTTTCTCTGTCTGTCTGTCTGTCTGTCTGTCTATCTATCTATCTCTATCCATCCATCTATCTCCATTCATCCATCCATATCCTATCCATCTCTCTCTCCCTCCCTCCCTCCATCCATCTATCTATCTATCTATATCCATCCATCGATCTCCTATCCATCTTTCTCTCTCTCTATCTATCTATCTATCTCTATCCATTCATCCAATCTCCATTCATCCATCCATATCCTATCCATCTCTCTCTCTCTCCATCCATATCTGTCTCTCTCTCTCTCTCTCTCTATCTATCTATCCATTCATCCAATCTCCATTCATCCATATCCTATCCATCTCTCTCTCTCTCTCCATCCATATCTGTCTCTCTCTCTCTCTCTCTCTATCTATCTATCCATCCATCTATCGCCAGTCATCCATCCATATCCTATCCATCTCTCTTCTCTCTCCATCCATATATATCTCTCTCTATCATCTATCTATCTATCTATCTATCACCAAGGATCCCATAGTTCAATCCTAAACTAGAGATATTATCGTCTGTCAGTCCATTGAAGTCCCAAAATTTGAAGTTTTATTGTCCTCACCTATTCCTCTCGTCCTTCTCTGTTTTTAGAGCTCTCAAAAGAGGGTCAACCAATTGCAAGGAACCATTGAGCTGATGAGAACAGGATCCCGAACCTCCTCACAAGAAAGAGATTACCCAGAAAGTGTCTCCCCACCCCTTACAAGCAAAACACCACCATCTCCCCATTGCGATCAAAGTCCCAGGTTTGAAGCGTAAGTGGTTATCCCTCCAATTCCTACATTACCTCAGTGGTGCAGTGGTTAGAGTGCAGTACTGCATGCCCACCCAGTCACATTACCCCCCCCCCCCCCCACCAAGCCACCCCCGCAGAACTGGTAGTAACAAATTTTACATTTCACCACTGCTTACAACTATGAAATTTTGGCAGTTTTTTTTCCTAAAGTGACGGTGTTGATTCTTTTAGATTTTTAAGATCCAACAAATCGGATTGCCGAGCCTCCCCCTCGTCTTGTGAGAACCTGAGGTTCGCCACCAAAAAGGAACAGCTCTACCTCTTCAACCAAAGTTTAGCCCTGCATCATCTTGGCCTCCGGAATAACCCGGCCAGCAAAGAGGGCGATTTCCCTCACCATCTGTTACTGGCTAAGGAAGTCGGCAGTCGCATGAAGCCCCCAGTTGAGTGGGAAGACCAAGCGGCCATCTTGGAACTTCCTGGTGCTGTGTTGTACATGAAAGACCGTCATTTGGAAAACAAGCTCCAGCTTCTTAACAGCTCGGAGAAACTCCGTTGTTTGTTGATGCAGCAGGAAGGGAAAGGAAGAGGCGAGGACAGTTCAGATCAGACCCCTTCCCTATCCCCAAGCGTCGACAAAGAAGGGAAGAAGGAAAGACCCTGTCCAGAAGATTTGATGGACGATACACTAGAGGAGCTGTTCCAGGTCCATAAAGAAAACCCGGACCGAGGAGAGAAAGCCACATCTGTGCAGGACAATGCCACGGAAGCACCTCTGGATTTATCAGATTATGGAAGGGGAAGAGAAAGTGGCACCAACTGGCACCCTCGGTCCTCAGTGAAACGCGAAAGGCGAAGTCCAGGCGGAGATGAGAATGAGGAGTCTGTTGTTCAGAAAACCTGTTTGTCCAGCTGGCTTGGTACAACTCCGGAACGCCATTACGGGAACCAACGACTGGAACAATTCACAGCTGGAGCCAAGGAAAATATAGCAGTTTCTCCGGTAAGAAATACATATGTTTTCCATATATCATCTTCCCGACATGTGCATGCACCACAGGGGGCTGCTTTTTCAGTTTCCGGTGCTCCCATGCATGTGAAGACCAGCTGGCTGGCGCGGTGGAACCAGGAAGAGTAACAGGCAACGGGTTGCGTGCCAGGAGAGATGTCTATGCATGCCACTTCCGGCACGTGTGCCATAGGATCGCCATCACGCGTATAGGATCTCCTGCTTGAGCAGTGGGTTGGACTAGTAGACCTCCAAAGTCCCTTCCAATCCTATTATTCCATGTTCTGTCTTCTAACATAGTCGTTGTGGAATGTTACAGGACTTTGTAAGGCTGTAGCTTTTCTTAATCTTAAATTCTGTGACCTCTGCAGATATCTCTGCCAAGAGAACCTGCTGTGTCCAAGACATCTTCACATGATTCCACTGCTGATACAGAAGTTAAGATGCCTTTTCAAGTGGAGAATCAAGACCCCAAGCGGCCAGGTAAAAGACAACATATTTTGAATTTTTCTGGAAGAGACTGGACAGCCATTTGCCTGGAACGGTATAAGTCTCCTACTTGTGCAGGGATTGGCCTGGAAGACCTCTAAGGTTCCTTCCAACTCTGTTATTTGGTATTATATATATATGCCTTGTTTAGCAACAGTAATGCTGGTTTCAACTATGGTCATAGGTCAAGGATTACTTTCCAGATACATTACATACAGAGGTGGGATTCACTTACCTTCCCTACCGGTTCGCAAATGTGACTTTCTGCACATGTGCAATAGTCACGCATTACATCCAGGCAGGTGGGCGGAGCCTCCTGCAGATGTCACTACCGGTTCGTGCGATCCAGACAGAACCGGCTGAATCCCACCACTGATTAGATATCAATTATCCAAATTTGAAATAGTAAAATCAACAACTTGTTCTAGAACAGGGGTGTCAAACTCAAGGCCCGTAGGCCGCATCTGTCCCACAGGGTGGTTAGATCTGGCCCACGGGGCCAGCCTGGAAACAGTAAAGGACCGGCCCGCAGTGCCTCTGCCAGTGAAAACGAAGCTCCGTTTTCGCTGGCAGAAGGCTAGGAAAACAAAGTAAAAACCAAACAAAAGGAGAAATGTTTCCCCTTTTGCATTTGAGCATGCAAGAAGGGACAGGAAAGGGGAACGGGAAAGAGGATAGACGAAGAAAAAGAAGGGAAGATGGGAAGAGAGCAAGGAAGGAAAAAAATAAGGAAAGAGGGGAAGGAAGAAGAAAGGAAAATGAAGAAGGAAGGAAGGAAGGAAGGAAGGAAGGAAGGAAGGAAGGAAGGAAGGAAGGAAGGAAGGAAGGAAGGAAGGAAGGAAGGAAGAAAGGAGATTATAATGAGAGTGAGGGAGAGTCTCAGGGAAGTCCTGCCTTAGCACTTGGCAACCAGAGGTGCCTCCAACAGGAATGACGTCGAACTGGCTACAACCGCCATGGCCACACCTTCTCCAAGCCACGCCCCCCCTGGCCCTCCGAGATCAAACATAACCCTGATACAGCCCTCAAATAAATCGAGTTTTGACACCCATGTTCTAGAACTGTTATGGCAAACCTATGGCATGTGTTCCTGAAGTGACATGTGGAGCCATGTCACCTGGCAGGCACGGTGGTGCCCGTTCCTCTTCCGGGTTTCTGGTGTGCCTGCGCATGCGATGATCAGCTGGCCTTTGTGCTTGCATCAGTGCCGGAAACCGGAAGAGCTTGTCTTCCATTTTCCAACGTGAGCATGTGTGCCGGCCAGCTGATCGGTGCGTGTGCATGCGTGAAGTGCTCCCTTTTCAGCACTTGGTGCCGCGCACACTCCCTTTTTGGCACTCAGTGCCGAAAAAGTTCGCCATCACTGTTCTAGAACAATAATCTCAACGCATGTTGAGGTTCTAGAAGGGTAAGATATGTTACCAAGTCTTGAGCAAGAGGCATTTTTGATGATGGACCAATCGCTAGAATATGAAACTTGAGATCCTTCATGCAATCATACGTAGCTTCCAAAGACCCCTTGTCCTATTCCCAGGAAATATTTAAAGTTGCTCAACCAGTAATTTCATTTCTCTTACAATGGAAGGCTTACATCCAGGATTACGTGTTCCATAAATCTTATTGAACAAACAACACTTCGGAGTTTAAGTAAACTTGGAGTCTATTACACAGTTGGCCTTTTGTGCTCTGCTGAAATCTGGGGAACTTTGAGCTCTTTCATCAAGAAGGAGTAGAAATTTTGGGCACGTGTCCAAATTTATATGATCGTGAACGATCCCCACCCTATCAAATCTTGAGTCCAGGGTCAACATTTTGGTTTGAAATAGCTCTCCAGAGTCTAGAGCTCAAGCATTGCCTTCCTCAGTACCAAAATCTTATGAATTTGGGGTGTTTTAAATTTCGTTTTCCGGGCCAATTATTTAATTGTATTTTAATGGTTTTTTAACACTTGTATTATATGTATTTTATTTGGCTGTTCACCACCCTGAGTCCTTCGGGAGTAGGGCGGTATAATAAATAAATAAATAAATAAATAAATAAATAAATAAATAAATAAATAAATAAATAAATAAAATCAACCAATGGAATAGCTTACCTTCAGAAGTTGTGGGTGCTCCATCATGGAGGCTTTTAAAAAGAGGCTGGACAACCATCTGTCTGAAATGATATAGGGCAGTGATGGCAAACCTTTACGGCACTGAGTGCCCAAACCAGAATGTGTGTGCATGTATGCATGTGCACACGCCAGAGCACCGGAAACCTGAAGACCAGCTGGCCTTCAGTGCGCATGCGTGTGATGGCCAGCTTGTCTTCGGGTTTCCAGCACTCACATGCGTGCCAGCCAGCTGATCTCCACACACACCAGAGCACCGTAAACCCAAACACCAGCTGGCTGGTGTGTGCATGCCTGTTTTTGGGCTGTTTTGGGCTGTTTTTTGGGTCGTTTTCAGGCTGGTTTTGGGCCATTTTCAGGCCTTTTTTTGGCTGTTTTTCAGGCCAAAAAAGGCCCGAAAAACAGCCTGAAGATGGCCTGAAAATGGTCCAAAATACGGCCGGAAAACAGCCTGTTTTTTGGTCATTTATCAGGCCATTTTCAGGCCTTTTTCCAGTGCTCCGGCACCCAGGAAGACCATCTGGCTGGCAGGCGTGCCCACAGAGAGGGCTCTGCGTGCCACCTCTGACACACGTGCCATAGGTTCGCCATCACGGATATAGGGTCTCCTGTTTGAGCAGGGGGTTGGACTAGAAGACCTCTGAGGTTCCTTCCCACTCTTATTATTCTATGTTCTGTGTTCTAAAACTGGAACATGGGGCCTTATCCAAATAAAGCAGAAGTCAAACACACAACTGAACAATGGACTCACAAACACTTGTTCAATACTGTATGAATTACCTCAGATCCTGGTGATTAGAAAGCCACATGTGTCTCTGTTTTCTGAGTCTTTTAAGGGGGGGGGGAAACTCTTTCCTGTCTTACATACTTTTCTCTAATCCAAAAAGCGAGGGAAAAATGGTGTTTCTAGGCCTTATGATAGAAGTCGATCTCCTATATGCCTTTATTTCTTTTAGATTACAGCGATTCTGACTCACTAAACGATGGCTCTGATGGGACAGCTGTATCTGAGAGTGAGGTCCGTTTCCATGTTTTCAAGGGGTCGAAGTAATCCTTTCTTTTAATGATGGGGTATGAAATCATTGAACGAGATTGGGAAATTGGGTCTCTTGGATTTTGCTGACCTACAATTCCAAACAACCTTTCCTATTGGTATTGTGGGAAGCTGAGAAGAGGACAGGCAGTCCTCGACTTACAATCATTCATTTAGTGACCACTTAAAGTTACAATAGCACTCCCAAAGGAGCTTTTTCATGAGGCAACTGGACTTTCTGGTTTTTCTTTGAAGACGTTTCATGTCTCATCCAAGAAGCTTCTTCAGCTTCTTGGATGAGCTGAAGAAGCTTCTTGGATGAGAAGCGAAATGACTTCAAAGAAAAACCAGAAAGTCCAATTGCCTCTTGAAAAAGCACCTTTGGGACAACCATGACCTGGATGACTGAGAATCTCCATAGACATTTACAACAGCACTATAAAAAGCAACTTATGATTGTGTTTCACATTCACGACCACTGCGGCTTCCCCACGGTCATGTCATCAAAATTCAGATGCTTTGCAACTGGCATGTACTTATGACGGTTGCATTGCCCCAGAGTCCTGTGACCTCCCCTTTTGCAACCTTCTAACAAGCAAAGTCAATGGGGATGCCAGATTCACTTAACAACCGTGTTACTACTATTATTATTGTTGTTGTTGTTATTGTTGTTGTTGTTGTTAATAATAATAATAATAATAATAATAATAATAATAATAATAATAATAATAATATTTCTATGCCGCCCACTCTCTGAGGATTCTGGGTGGCTTACACCAAAGACAGTATACTAAATAGCATATTGCCCCCTAACAATCTGGGTCCTCATTTTACCCACCTCGGAAGGATGGAAGGCTGAGTCAACCTTGAGCTGGTGAGATTTGATCCGCTGATCTGCTGAACTAGCAGTCAGCTGAAGTAGCTGCAGTACTACACTCTAACCACTGCGCCACCTCAGCTCTTTTCTAACTTAACATCTCCAGTGTTTCCCTTAATAACTGTGGCAAGAAAGGTCGTAAAATGGGGCTAAAGTCCCATTTAACAACTGTGCTACTTAGCAATGGACTTTTTGGTCTTAAGTCAAGGACTATCTGTACTGTAGTTCAGGATCTTCTAGAGATCTTCAGGTCCCTCACTACGGGTATGAGAATTCTGTAATTGCTTCCTGTCTCATTAGGTTTATTGTTTAAGTGGGAGGTCTCCAAATTTGGCAATTTTTGTGGGCTTCAACTCACGTTGGCTAGGGACTGCTGGGAACTGAAGTCCACAAGTCTTCATTAAGTGACACCTGATTTAAACCACAATAAGAACCTGTCATATGGTTGCATCCAAAAGCAAATTTACTTGTATGATCATGCGAATATACTGTAACCAGACCTGACTTGACCAGTTTAGAGTGTGAAGAACTGAGCAGTATTTTCAGTGTAAAGGACAGATCTCTTAAATTACATGACATTTTTCTTCATGCATCCTAAACCTTTCTGGATCAATTTCTTTAATTTATATAGATAGTTGATACTCGTGAAGAGAAAGCTCTCCCAGGAGGTTCGGCAAAAGAAGACTACTGCTATGTAACTGAGAAAATTCAGAATTTGCAGAAGAAACGGAAAAGGGGACACAATTCGTCATTAAAAGGTTTGAAATTCTTCCTTTCCAACTAGTTCAGATTTTGCACCCCAAAATGTCATACATTGCCCTGCTTTGCACATAAGAGAATCCATAATTATAATCAAGGATTAAGGTGCTGATTTAGGAACTAGACCGTAAGTTCTAGTCCTGCCTTAGGCATGAAAGCCGGTTGGGTGACATTGGGCCAATCACCAGCAGACTAAGAATTCTAGTCCCGCCTTAGGCATGAAAGCTGGCTGGGTGACTTTGGGCCAATCACCAGGAGACTGGGAGTTCTAGTCCCGCCTTAGGCATGAAAGCTGGCTGGGTGACTTTGGGCCAATCACCAGGAGACTGGGAGTTCTAGTCCCGCCTTAGGCATGAAAGCTGGCTGGGTGACTTTGGGCCAATCACAAGGAGACTGGGAATTCTAGTTCCACTTTAGGCATGAAAGCTGGCTCAGTGACACCAGGAGATCATGAGTTCTATTCCCTCCTTGGGCATAAAAGCCAACTGGATTACTTTGGGTCAGTCCCTCTCTCTCTCAGCCCAGTCTGCCTCACAAGGTTGTTGTTGTGGAGAAAATAGGAGGAGGAAGGAATAGCAGGTGTGTTTGCTGCCTTGAGTTAATTATCAATTTCCTTGCCAAAGGGCAACATTTTCATCTCGCTCATTCTAGTAAAAGTATGGTTGCAATATCCATTCTTCTTCGCCTCCCCTCATTTGGTAGCTTTCAGGAATCCTGAAAACCTTGATCTTACTCAACCAATAACCAATTTCCCACTTCTCTTTTTAAATCTTCAAGCTTTTAGATTTCCCCCCAACTTCTATTGTATAAGATTAGATGATCTCTGCCAAGGAACTTCCTCCATTTTAAAACTCCATCCTTATTGTCAACTAGCTTGCAAATACAGGTAGTCCTCAACTTACAACCACAACGGAGCCCAGAATTTATGGCGCTGCTGAGTGAGAAATTTGTTAAAGCGAGTTTGGCTCCATTTTACGATGTTCCTCTCCACGTTTGTTAAATGAATCACTGCAGGTCTTAATTTAGTAACATGGTTGTGAAGTGAATATGGCTTCCTCATGGACTTTTCTTCTCAGAAGGTCGCAAAAAATGATCGCATGACACACACACCCAGGACACGGCAACCGTCATAAATATGACCCAGTTGTCAAGCATCCAAATGTATATCACATGACTATGGGGATGCTGCAATGGTCATAATCAGTGTTGAAATGCAGCCGGTTCTATCCGGCTCGGGCAAACCGGTAGCACCGGTGGTGGGAGGCTCCACCCACCCGCCTGGATGTCATCACGTCCCGTTTTTGAACTTCTGCACATACACAGAAAGTTCTGTATATGTGTGGAGGAGGCGTGCGTGCTCACATGTGCGAACCGGTAGCGAAGGTAAATGGATTTCACCCCTGGTCATAAGTGTGCAAAATTATCATGTCACTTTTTCCAATGCCGTTGTAAGTTTGTATGGTCACTAAATGAACTTTTTTAAGTCAAGGACTACCTGTACAGGTTTCCATGCCTTTATGTTTAGTTCAGGGGTGAAATGTAAAATTTGTTACTACTGGTTCTGTGGGCGTGGCTTGGTGTGGGGGGGTTATGTGACTGGGTGGGCATGGCCAACTTTTTTTTTTTTTAACTTTTCAAAGCATTTTTTCTAATGCTTTGAAAAGCCTCTCTGCCGATCAAGCAACTCAGCTGGGATCCTCAGAGACTTTTCAAAGCATTTTTTTTACCACCTCTTCGGCCAAGAGGTTGCAGAAAATAATGTTTTGAAAAGCCTCTGACAATTCCAGCTGAGCCGCGCGATCATCAGAGGCTTTTTTTTTTTACTTTTAAAAGCATTTTTTCGTCGGAAGAGGTTGTAGAAAAAGTAAAAAAAAAAAAAAAGCCTCTGATCACCGTGCGGCTCAGCTGGGCATGGTGAGGGGGGGGCAGGGATTTTTGCTACCGGTTCTCTGAACCACCCGCCGCCATCGCTACCGGATCAGGCGATCCGGTCCGAACCGGGAGCATTTCACCCCTGGTTTAGTTCCTGTGAGGCTCCTCCAGTGTCCTCTGGACTATGACAAATTACTGATAGTTTTGGTTGAAGAAGAAATCCACAGTTGCGGTCTGTTGTTTTCCCTTCCATCTAGGCTTCCATGCTGCATAAATATTTAATCAAGTTATACAATTATCCTGAGATAAGATGCGGAGCAGAGACTCCAATGTTTTAGCAGGGTGGACTTTTCTCTAAATAGGGATCCAACCCCCAGTTTAGAGAGAGAGAGAAAGAGAGGAAAAACTTCAACTTGAGTAAGTGTGGCACGTACACTTGTTTGTTTAAATACTTGGTCTAGTATTAACTTAGAGCAAACCCATGATGAAGATACCTAGTTTGGTAATGAAACATCTGCAAGAAAACACCCATGCTCTGAGGAGACCAATGACCCCATATTTCAGCCCTGAACTACCAATATTCTCTTCTATACGTTCAGCAGGTCAGATGGCTTGCTCCACTTTCTTCTTCTCTGCTGCTGCCTGTTTAACATCTTCACAGCCCAAACTTTGTCAGGGCTAAACAAGACAAAAAGAAACTATCAATATTTTCCATCCAGATTCATCAGAGCTTGTTGGAAAGGCACAGTGGCAGCTTTTCAAACATACCCCGTTTTTAAACCCTGGCGACCACCATCTCTCTCTATTAGTTGGTCAACTCTGCTCTCTTCTATTTTTTTGACTGGGCAAACAGAGCAAAGGAAAGTGTTGGGGACGCAAAGTGTTTAAATTGTTAGCAGGCCAGAGGGGTTTTGTGGCCAGCCTTATCAATGTCCTGCTCAGTCACACCTGTAGGAAATACCTGTACAACATAGTCCATTGTTAGCAGCTTACCACTTCTGTAGGCCCTCGCTTGAAAAATAAACACGATTTGTGTGGAAATACTTTTTTTTTTTTTTGCAAAGTCAATAATTCCTTCAGGAAACCTGGGTGTGTTTTGTCAATCAAGGTTCCTTAGAAAAGGCTAAACAAACAAGCTGGACTGTGTACGTACCACACTTACTCAAGCTGGAGTTTATCTTCTCTCTCTCTCTCTCCAAACTGGGGGTTGGATCCCCATTTAGAGAAAAGCCCACCCTGCTAAAACATTGGAGTCTCTGCTCCGCATCTTATCGCAGGACAATTGTATAACTTGGTTAAATATTTATGCAGCATGCACACCAGGGCCTGCACAATACCATGCAGGCCGCTGCATTTTGCACCAACTGGAACTTCTAGATGCTCTTCAGGGGCAGCCCCATGTAGAGCGTGTTGCAATAGTCAAGACAGGAAGTGACTAGGGCATGAATGACTGTGAATAGGGACTGTTGGTCCAGAAAAGGGCATAACTGGCACACAACCTGCAGTTCCACAAAGGCCCGCCTGGCCATGACTGCCACCTGCTCTTCGAGCAGGAGTCGTGAGTCCAGGAAAAACCCCTAGATTACGCACAGGGTCTGTTTGGGGTAGTGCCAATTCTCCCTGAGCCAATGAACCCCAAACTCAGAGCCATTCGGTCTTGCAAGGGTTTAGTTTCTTTTTTAAAAAAAAATATACTTTATTCAGTTTTATATATATATACAAGACAAAAATTTCATTTCTATTTACATCGGATCTGCAGTGTTTATACATATATACATAAAATGTCTCTGGTATCACTTTATCAGTTTATTACTACTTATTTATCATACCTTATACTCCCTCTTTAATTCTATTGTTCAACCATTCGTACCACCTTTCCCACACAATATAATAGTCTGAGTTCTCATCGTTATTTATTTCATACGTTAGTTTACTCATCTCTGCGCACTCCAGGATTTTCCTAATTATAAGTTCTTCTGGTGGCAGGCTTTTCTCTTTCCAGAGTTGTGCGTACGCCAATCTAGCAGCTGTGGTTATGTGTATTATCAGATGGATCTTTTTCTTTCCATACCCCTTTTTTACTATTCCCAGGAGAAATATTTCCGGCGTCAATTCTATGTCTTCTCCAATTATTTCTTGTATCCAACTCCAAATTTTATTCCAGTATCTTTTCACTTCGGGGCATGTCCACCACATATGAAAGAAGATGCCCTGACCATGGCCACATTTCCAACAGTTGGGGTGCATATTGGGGAAGGGTTTAGTTTCAACCTGTTGTTCCCCATCCAGCCCCTAACAGCCTTTAGGCACTGTGAGAAGGAGGACACAGCATCACTTAACTCACCATGGGCTGAGACATACATCTGAGTATCATCAACATATTGGTGATACCTCAGTCCATGGTGACAGATGATCTCACCCAGCGGCTTCATATAAATGTTGAACAGGAACAGAGAGAGTACCAAGCCTTGCAGAACCCCGTAAAGCAGTGGGCGAGGGCTGGATCTCTCCCCTCCTATCAACACTGATTGAGAGCGGCCGCAGAGGAAGGAAGTGAACCAGGATAGCACAAGGCCTCCCACTCCCATCCCCTGAAGCCGCCCCAGGAGAATACCATGGTCAATGGTATCAAAAGCCGCCAAGAGATCAAGTAGAGCAAGAAAGGATGCAATACCCCCAAATCCCGCTCCCGCCAGAGATCATCCAAAGGTATGACCAATGCCATTTCTGTCCCAAGTCCAGGCCTGAATCCTGATTGGTAGGGGTCGAGATAATCCATTTCATCCAGAAATCTCTGGAGCTGCCATGCAACCACCTTCTCAACAACCTTCCCCAAAAAGGGAAGATTGAAACCAGGTCAGAAATTATCCAACCAGAAATTATCCAACCAGGTGGAGTCCAGAGATGGCTTCTTAAGAAGAGACTGCAGCCTCCTTAAAGTGCACAAAAAAATCCTGCTGATAATGTTACCTAGTCTGGTAATGAAATGTTCAGAAACGAAAATGAAATAAGTCTGGGAAGCAAACCACTGCCAAAATCTAAAATCCGAGCTATAAGTATTTACTATTATTTCAAAATTTCATTTTAAAAAAAAAAACACGTCTGGTCATGTGGATGCCTTGATTTATGACTGTTAACAATTTATGACTGGATTTCTGGTCCCAACTATGGCCGTAAATAGAGGTCTACAGTAGTAGCCAAAATTGTGGAAACCATTTGGGAAAAGTGTATTTTCTAAAACTAGCTAATAACACCACTTTTTTTTGAGTAGTACCATAAAATTATATATCAATGGAAAGATAATTTAATCAAGAATGTAATGCAATAACTTTTATGAAGGATTTGCCATCAGAATAGCAGTTACAGTATAAAGAAGAAAAGAGTTACAGTATAAAGAAGAAAAGTGAAACACGTAGGAAAAACAAGATATACAAAAATTATCACCATGTCAGTTAATACTTAGTTGGGTAAACTTTAGCATGAATTATGGCCTTACGAAGTCTTCCCATGGAGCGAACCAAGTCTTTTAGTTCTGCAGCTGTTATAATGTGAAACCAAGATTGAAGGATTGCTTCTATTAACTGGGTTTTATTGCTGGGTTGCTTCTGACTAGCAAGTTTTTTTAGTTGACTCCATAGATTTTCATTTGGATTAAAGTCTCAGCTATTCCCAGGCCATTCCAGCAGTGGAATATGATTATCTTGAAACTGGTGTTATTAGCCATCAAACCTCAAAAATACACTTTTCCCAAAAGGTTTCCACAATTTTGGCCACTACTGTATGTATATTGGTAATTTTCAGGGAGAAAGTTACAATGCACTCTGTCTAATGCTCCATTCGTTCTATTTCGTCTTCACAGCCTACAAGAAATCAGTTCAAGGAGGAGAGAGGGCTACAGCCATCCACATCCTCCCTGGCTCAAAAGACACGAAGGAAATGGCAAACCACAGCCCTGCTTTCAGACATGAGGCGCACGAGGAGACATAGCTTAAAAACATTCTCACTTGGACTTGCTTGGTAGCCTATGCTGAAGTTAAACTTTCCTGGTTTTGATCAGGAATCCTATAACAGACACAAAATAATTCTTGGTATTTTAGTTGCTAAGGTTAAACAGCCTTCCACGTTACACAGACTTACATAGGGAATTGTCAGATATTACAATTGAAATTGTGAGGAAATGGGACATCCCGGATGGACCAGGTGTGTAGAAGAATTTAAGAACCACTTCTCTGATTACCGTATTTTTTGGACTATAATAAGACGTACCAAAATTTAGAAGAGGAAAACAACAACAAAAAGTTTTGGGCCTCCGCACGCCCCATTTTCGGGCCTTTTTTGGGGGGGGCTTTTCCAGCCTGTTTTCGGCCTCTTTTCGGGGCTTTTCCGGCCTGTTTTCAAGACTTTTTTCAGCCCATTTTCAAGGCCCTTTTTGGCCTGTTTTCTAGGCTTTTTTGGCCCATTTTCAAGGCTTTTTTCAGCCTGTTTCCGGGGCTTTTTTCGGACTGTTTTTTGGCCCGTTTTCAAGGCTTTTTTCGGGCCGTTTTTTCGAAAAACAGCCAGTGGGTAGGCGGGGTTTCACCAATATTCGGTCTATAAAATGCACAGACATTTTCATCCCCTTTTAGGAGACAAAAAATATGTTTTATAATCCAAAAAATATGGTATACTGGAAATAAGAGTATAGGTCAGTGATGGCTAAACTTTTTGCCATCGCGCGCCAGGAGTGGGGGGGTTGTGCGCATGCCCACGCCCATAATTCTATGTGCCCTGCCCCCACGGATGTGCATAGCCCCCCCGCTCCCCCCGCTCCTGGCATACAATGGCATGGTAGGCCCATTTTTTGCTCTCCCCAGCCTCCAGAGCCTTTCTAGGAGTCTGGGGAGGGCAAAAACGGCCTTCCCCACCCTCCCGGAGGCTGGAAATGGCCTGTTTGCCAACTTCCGGTGGGACCTCCTGCGCACCGGAGCTGAGCTCGCGTGCCCACCGATATGGCTACGCGTGCCACCTGTGGCACCTATGGCGTGCCATAGGTTCGCCATCACGGGTATAGGTAGTCCTCGATTTATGACCACAGTTTTGCCCAAAATTTTTGTTGCTGACATTTGTTAAGTGAGTTTTGCCCCCTTTCACAACCTTTCTTGCCACAGTTGTTAAGTGAATCACTGCCGTTGTTAAGTTGGTAATATGTTTGATAAGTGAATCTGACTTCCCCATTGACTTTGCTTGTCAGAAGGTCACAAAAGAGGTTTGGATGACCCCCTGGACACTGAAACCGTCATAAATATGAGTCAGTTGCCAAGCATCTGAATTTTGATCAGGTGGCCATGAGGATGCAGCAATGGTCATAAGTGTGAAAAACGGTCATCAATCACTTTTTTCAGTGCTGTTGAATAACAGAAACAGAATAGCAGAGTTGGAAGGGACCTTGGAGGTCTTCTAGTCCAACCCCCTACTCAAGCAGGAAGCCCTATACCACTTCAGACAAATAGTTGTCCAATTTCTTCTTAAACCTTTTAACATCGAACAGTCACTAAATGAATAGTTGCAAGTCAAGGACTACCTGTATAGGTATATAACCCTGTTGATCTAGTACTTTCTTCACAGGGTACATGGCAGTAAAGACATTGTACATGAATAGAAAAAGAAATGAGTTTGATGTATTTAGCACCCTGTGGTCAAAACTACCTAAAATATGCCAAGTGTTTGTTCACCAATGATGTGTTGATTAAATGTCTGCATAATTTGAAGCGTTACATCATTATTGTTCTGCAAAATAATTTGCTGGAATTCTAAGGCTAAGCATACTTGTCATAGGCATTTCATGTAGGAATTAACAGACTGCCGGGGTTAATTTTGACGAGCAAATGAAAGCCATTTATCAGGGTCCTCAATCCCAATACTATGGTCTTCAGCCATGTTGGCTCAGGAATCCTGGGAATTGAAGTCCACAGATCATCAAGGGACCATCCTTGGGCTAAAACATGGGTGTCAAACTTGTGGCATCATGTTGCCATCACGTGACGTATCACGACATTTTTCCCTTTGTGAAGCTGGGGTGGGTGTGGCCTGTGCGTGATGCATCCAACCCACCGGCCGCCAGTTTAACATCCCTGGTAAAGGAACATTTGGGATCACCTCAGGTAAGTACTAGCCTTCAAGACTTTAGAAGATTATGTAGTTTTTCTCCTTCAGCATATTTGGTACCACCGTATTCTCATGCAGGTTCAAAAGAGTTAGATGGCGTTCTTAGTGAAATGGTTGTCCAATCTCTTCTTAAAAGCCTCCAGGGATAAAGCACCTACATCTTCTGGAGGCAAGTCGTTCCACTGATTAATTCTGTCAGGATATTTATCCTTAGTTCTAGGTTGCTTCTCTCCAGTGGTGGTATTCAGCCGGTTCGGACCAGTTCGGGCGAACCAGTAGTGGCAACCTGCCACGGCGCTATGCCGTCCTATTTAGCTACGTTTTCTAAGCCATGTGCATGTGTGCAAGCCACGCGCGTGAGCAAAATGAATGCATGGAATTCCAGGCACATGCGTGGAAAGTGCACACGCTCACATTTTCAGTGCGCGGCGAACCAGTGGTAAAATTATGTGAAACCCACCTCTGGTTCTCTCCTTGGTTAGTTTCTATCCGTTGCTTCTTGTCCTCTATGCTAAATTTCCACAGACGGTCAGCAGTGCACCTGAATCAGCCAGCAACAGCTTCCTGTTGGCAGGTAAGTAGGTTAGCCACAGCAAACAGGCAAATGTAGCCATGACATGGCATCTTTTACTTTTTTTAAAATTATACTTTACGGGGCAGATGTTCAGGCATGCATATCGTTGCAGATATTTTTATTATTTTAATTTGATAATTTCATTATTCCCAAGAGAATGGTTTGCAGCTGAGCATCTGAAGCAAACTCCCTCTTACGCCAGTCACTTTGACAGGTGTGTTTGTGTGTTTTGGCCGGGGGGAAGGGTGTTTATGTGTGCAGACTCTAGAAGTAAATTTAAAGTGTAAATCCCCCCTGCCCCAGTCAGATTTTCCTCTCCCTCCCCATATGAGCACATGGTTTTGAATTGCATACGTGTATTAAAAATGTTGTCAAATAATAATGGTATTTTTGCCCAGAGTAATGCCACAACTCTCCCATATAGGACTACTAGCTGGACGCCTGTGCTTCGCTACAAAACTATGCGATAGGTGTGATAAATTGACGCTGCCTGAAACATAATGTAGAATGTGTAACTCCGTAGCATTAGAGTGTGTTAATATAAGGCAACTGGCAATTGGAACAGAGGGGGAGGGGGAGTAGAATGTCCCAGCCCGCCAGCCGGATGAGTTACGTGCTGGCCACGCCCACACCTGGTTTAGTGAAGGGGTAGCATCAGAGAGTGTTAATCTAAAGCAACTGGCAGTTGGAACAGAGTTCTTTTCAGGTGGGATGGGGGAGTAGAATGTCTAGCTTCTTAGCATCAGAGCGTGTTAATATAATACTGTATATGAAATACTAATGATCTGATGGTCATTTCAAAGAATCCTTTCATAGCAAGCACCTAGAAGCCAAGAGGAATGTATGTGCCAAATTTCAAGTTTGTAGGCTTTACTGTTCTGGAGATTTTGTGATGAGTGAGTGATATTTGGCTTTTATATATAGAGAAGATAAATCTGAGTCCTAAAATCCACTTGCAACACTTTAGTAGATTTCTCCTTTCGGGATCACAGACAGTCGTATATGACTTTTGCACGCATTCTGCAAACTGGCCTCTGGAAGAACTCAGAACCCATGTTGCACTGATGATGCTGAAAATCTATGCGGGTTGGCACTTTGTTTCTGGCATAATTTGAAAAGCTGGTGATGAGCTTTAAAACGCATTCGAATTCGGGAGAAGAGCCAGTTTGGCGCAGTGAGGAAGGCATTCAGCTAAAAACTGGGAGCTGATGAGTTCTAGTGCAGAACTCACAAAGGCAGCTGAGTGCCCTTGGAACCAGGTGCTCTTTTACAGCCCAGAGAAGGAATTTGAGAGTAAGTCCTCGACTTACACTTAGTGATTGTTCAAAGTTACAAGAGCACTGAAAAAAGTGACTTTTTTTCACACTTACGAGCATGGCGGCCTCCCTGTGGTCACGTGATCAAAATTCACTGACATGTATTTACGTCCCGGGGACATGTGATAACAATTTTAACCTTCCCAGCTGTTTTCCAACAAACAAAGTCAATGAGGAAGCCAGATTCGCCTAATGATGACATGATTCACTTAACAACTGCAGTGATTCACTTAACAACCATGGTAAAAAGGTCATAAAATGAGGCACAACTCGCTTATTAACTGCCCTGCTTAGCAACAGAAATGTTGGGCTCAATGTGGTCATAGTCCTCGCTTAATGATTATAATCTATCGCTAAGTGCTGTAGTTACAAAACAGAAAAAAACATCTGACTGCGACAAGCTTAGCATCTTATTTCTATTCAGTTGTTAAGTGAAACTTCACATTAGCACAACTTATAATTTTACTACTCCCTTCTCTATTAACTTTGCTAATTGCAAGCCAACTGTGAAGTTAAAGGATTAAAGGAAATAATAGCAATAGCATTTACACTTACATACACAGTGCTTTTAAGCAGATTACTGAGTCAGCCTATTGCCCCCTACCATCTGGGTCCTCATTTTACCGACCTCGGAAGGACGGAAGGCTGAGTCAACCTTGAGCCGGTGAGAATCGAACTGTCGAACTGCTGGCAGCCGGCAGTCAGATGAATTAGCCTCCAATACTGCATTCTAACCACTGCACCACCACATCTACAAATGTTGATCACATGACTGCAGGACACCGTGACAGTCATAAATGTGACCATTGGTCACAAAGCTATTTTTTTGCACACTGTTGTAACTTTGAATGGTCGCTAAACAAGGCAGTTGGTAAGCGAAGACTGCCAGTATAAGCTTTGCATCAATATAGTTTAGGCTCAACAGACTGTAGCTGCTCCCACGTAGGGTTTTATCTGCACTTTTTCTAGACAAATAATTTTGCAAAAGAGTAACTGTGCTTTTCCCCAAAAATAGATTGGTAACCTTGCAACAACAAAGATCTTTTGATCTTAGAAGACTTTGATTCTTTTTTTTCCCCAGAAACCTATTTTGCCACAGCTATAACAATGTGATATTATTGTCAAATATTTTTCAAATTCCCAGTGACAATATTCTCCTCCGTGATCAGATCTTAATTTCCTTATTTTTTTCAAATTGAACCTGTTTCTTACATAACCACCAAACAGTTTTGAATTCCTTAAATGCTTCAGAGGTAGGTCCAAATATACTTTTGAGTGACAGCCTGTGAATGTTACATAAATATTCTCACCCTTAGGTTTGATTGGCACAGGACCGCAAACATCTGGGGAAAAAAAATAGATTCTAACAGCTGAGTGACTGGGGAAAGTTTCCTTTAAGCAACAAAATATATTTCGATTCCTTTTATTTTCAGCAGGGTCGAAACTCAGTTGTTTTAAATGGCAGACTCATCGCTGTGACCAAATCTTCTTGCAATTTTGCAGGATTATTATTATCCATATTTCCTGTTACATGCATTAGAGATACATAAGTTCAGGGGTGGGCTACTGGGCATTCGCAGGGGTTCGGGAGAACCTCTAGCTAAGATTCTGTGCAGTTCGGAGAACCCCCATTTCCCACTCCTGGCTGCCCCCGCCCACCCCGCCCTACCCCTCCCAGGAGTCCCCACGCGGCCCATTTTGGATGTCAGGTAAGTGTAGGGCGCACGGGGAGGCTCGGGGAGGGTGAAAAATGGGCCTACTGGAAGTTCAGGAAGGCCAGAAACGGGTCCGTTTCTGGCCTCCAGAGGGAGCCTGAGGGGGCCGTTTTCACCCTCCCGGAGGCTTAAGGAAAGCCTCCAGAGCCCGGGGAGGGCAAAAACGCACCCCCCGCCATGGTGCAGGAGGCCGACTAGGCCACACCCACTATGGTCACGCCCACCTAGCAACTAGGTAGAGAACCCCTTTGCTAAAATTTTTGAAGCCCACCCCTGCATAAGTTCCTGCAAATTAGTGTCATTCTGTTTTTTCCACTAATGTTACTTGGTGGTTGTTTTCTAACAATGCCAAATCCATTTTAAAAGCAGTTTTACAACTTGCTGCATGAAATAGCCGAGACCTACCGTATATCCAATTCAGCTACAAAATACTATTGTTGTAATACAGGTAGTCCTCGACTTACAGCCGTTCGTTTAGTGACCGTTTGAAGTTAGAACGGCACTTAGAAAAGTGACTTAAGAACGTTTTTCACACTTACGACCATTGCCGTATGGTCGTGTGATAAAAATTCAGAGGCTTGGCAACTGACTCATATTTATGACAGTTGCAATGTCCCAGGATCATGTGATCCCCTTTTGTGACCTTCTGACAAGCCAAGGCAATGGGGAGGCCAGATTCACTTAACAACCGTGTTACCAATTTAACAACTGCAGTGATTCACTTAACAACTACAGCAAGAAAGGTCGTAAAATGGGGCAAAGCTCTCCTAATAAATGTCCCATTTAACGACAGAAATGTTGGGCTCCATTGTGATCATAAATCAAGGACTATCTACATTACTACCTATATTTCTGCTCTCATCATGATTCATCAGGCCAAACAATGTTGACTGGCAGCCCCCAGGGGGAGAGCCTTCTCTGTGGGGGCACCTACTATCTGGAACGAGCTCCCCCCCGAGATACGGAGGATTCCGGATCTGCGTACCTTCCGTCGCACG